ATGCCTTCATCTAATGATAATTCTTGCATAGGTTTATATATTGTTTGAAATTTACTAATAAAGTGGTCGAGTACAGATTGAATTTTAAATAGCCCGAAGATTTACTCATGTTTGCATTGTCATTGAAATGCCAGTAAGTGTAGATTTGTTCAAATGATTTCTACTGAACGTCTGAGGAAATATTGGGACAGCTAGAACTGGATTTGTAGACCAATATTCTTTCAAAATAATCCTTTCAAGTATGCCCCATTAGCACTATAAGTCCTAAAATACTTTTCATATCTGTTGGAGTAACAGAAGACCACTTTATTGCTTTCAAATTTTGTGCTTTCCCAAATTTTGGTTATAATACGTTTGATTGATGACAAAATAGTTCAAACAGATTGTCATCAAAAATCAGGTTGGTGACATCAATTATATTCTTAGAATCAGATGGTATAACTGTAACCCCAGAATTACCTTCAAAATTTCCCAAATTAGGTTGAAGGTCCTCTTTTGACCAATCATTATCTTGGGAACCAAGATACAAATTACACTCAAAATAATGTGTGGAATTGTTCAAATTTTCAGGTTTGGAATCACTTGAAATTACTATTTTTCGCCTTTTTGAAGGAATAACTATATCACTACCACTGTCAAAGCTTTTATCACTTTCACTTAGAATATCTGATAAATTGTCAGCAAATATATCCAGGATTTTATCATGTTCTTCGTCACTATCCATGGTTACTGAGCACTTTAAAAATATCAAATTGATATAAAAACAGTTATTGTTATTACTAATGACAAGAGAGTAATCACTTTTAATTCCTTTTTTAATTTTTAACTTCAGTGAATGCATTTTCCATTACACTGTTTCTTTCTAAATGACAACTATAAAAAGCCAAGAAATCTCATGATTGGCCACAAGCCTGAGAACAGAAAACATGAGCATTCTCGTGGTCCATCCACAATGTGTTAAGAACTGATGAGCTAGTAAACTAAGACTTTTTGTTTGGCTCACCAGGTTATAATTCTTCTACTTGAACAGCCAAAGATATTTTATAGCATAGCAGCTGAATAAACAAAGCATAGTAACCCTTAATTTAAACTGATTTTATTTCTAAAAGAAGATTCGTATTTCTGATTTCATATCTTTCTCAAAGAGGGGGATTATATTATTCTGTGTATTTCCCACTGTATGTCTTCTTTTGATGAGGTCAAGTGAAATGCTTACAATTTTTAAAAATTTAAAAAACATATATTTAACTGGATAACCTAGATGAAATGGACATATTCTTAGAAAAATACAAGCTTCCAAAACTTAATCAGGAAGAATAAAGAAACCTGAATAGGCCGATAACTACCGAAGAAATTGAAGCAGTAATCAAAAATCTTTCAGCAAAAAAAGCCCTGATCCAGATGGCTTGCAGGGGAGTTCTAACAAACATTCAAAGAATAACTGAAACTTATCCTCTTCAGACTATTCCAAAAAATTCAAGAGGAAGGCACACTTCCAAGCTCTTTCTATGAAGCCAGCATTACCCTAATTCCAAAGAAAGAGACTACAGGCCAATATCCTTGATGAACATAGATGCTAAAATCCTCAACAAAATTCCAGCAAATCGTATCCAGCATTACACTAGAAAGATCATACACCATGACCAAGTGGGATTTATTCTGGAGATGCAAGGTTGGTACAATATCCACAAATCAATAAATGTGACACACAATATGACAAACCTACCACTAACATCATACTCAATGGACAAAAACTAAAACCATTTCCCCTAAAACAGGAACAAGACAGGGATGCCCGCTTTCACCATTGCTGTTCGACATAGTACTGGAAGTGCTAGCCATAGAAATCAGACAAGAAGAAATAAAAGGCATCCAATTTGGAAAAGAAGAAATAAAACTGTCGTTATTTGCAGATGACATGCTATTGTACATAGAAAACCACAAAGATGCCATCAAAAAACTACTAAACTTAATAAATGAATTTGGCAATGTAGCAGGATAAAAAATTAACATCCAAAAGTCTATGGCTTCTCTATACACCAATGATGAACTCACAGAAAGAGAAACTAACTAACTAACTAACTAACTAAATAAATAAATAAAAATCCCATTTACCATCTGACCAAAAAAGTTAAGATATCTAGGAATAAACTTAACTAAGGAGGTAAAGGACCTATAGGCAGAAAACTACAGGACATGGAAAAACGAGATAGAGGAAGGCATAAACAAATGGAAGAACATACCGTGTTCAAGGATTGAACAATGATATTGATTCTATATTATTAAAATGTCCACACTACCCAAAGCAATTTATAGATTCAATGCAATCCCCATTAAAATACCAATGGCATATTTCACAGACCTAGAACAAACTCTCCAAAAATTCATCTGAAATAAAAAAGACCCCAAATAGCCACAGTAATCCTGAGAAAGAACAAAGTTGGAGGGATCTCAACACCAGATATCAAGCTGTATTATAAAGCCACTGTTCTCAGAACTGCCTGCTACTGACACATTAACAGACCAATGGACTAGGATAGAGAACCCAGAAATTGACCCAAGTCATTATGCTAAATTAATATTTGACAAGGAGGCAAGAGCATACAATGGAGTCAAGACAGTCCCTTCAATAAATAGTGCTGGGAAAATTGGTCTGATACATGGAAAAAATGAAACTAAATCACCAACTTACACAATACACAAAAATGAACTCAAAATGGTTAAAGGACTTAAATGCAAGACGGGAAACCATAAAAAT